TGTGAGGAGTCTCTCAATTTCCTCCCTTATTTCGCACAATGTTCTGGGATACATTAGATCAGATCTGGGAGATTTATCCACATTTATATTCTTTAAGACCTCCTGAACTTCATCTACTGTAATGTGAACTGTTTTAAACATTTAAAGTTTATTTCTCTGCATTCTCTAGATTCTATTTCTTTCTCCACAGTAAAAACTGATGCAAAATATTAATTTAGTATCTCTCCCATCTCCTGGGGTTTGACATGAAGACAACCTCCTTGATCATTAAGAGTCCCTACCCCCTCTCTAGTTAGTCTCTTGCTCTTAACGTATTTGTGCAATCTGTTTCAGTTGTCCTTAACCTTTATCTGCCAATACTATCCCACAAACTTAAGATGGGCACAAGATTTTTTTTCCTCCCAGTTGATCTTTTTAATGTTGAATAATCTTCAGCTATGTTGCGTATTTTCATATGATCTGTTACTTGTCTTTTGATTCCCACTCACTTTTATAAAAGAAGTTGTCGTAGTCTCTCAGTGTTAAATCAAAATCTTGTGAAAGTGAACAATTTACGTTCCAAATCCTGTGCTTTAATTTTGTCCTTGTCAGGCCTTGAAAGAGCTCTTCTTTCAAGGTCTGTTTCCAGACGCACGATTGTGACACAGCAATTTCATGCTTCTTAAACTAAAACCAGAGAAGTTAATTTTTAATTAGAAAAAATCCTTCTAGCTTTACAGTCTTTACCAAAATGGATAGCAATCCCATCCAAATAACAAAACAAAAGTTCATAAGTCAAAATAATAAGTTGGGTTCTGTTTAAATGATTTTGGTGATGACCACAGTGGTTCAGTTTTGTACTATTGTATTTGCTGTAACTGCCAGTTTTAAGTATTATTCTTCCCATGGATAACTGTATTATGAACTATTGCACTGTAGTGTAGTGCCATATAAACTGAACTAGTTTTGGCTTCCCCAAATTGCGTAGGAAGATTTCTCTGTGTATCAGTGATACATATATCAAGACAATCACAACTTTGATGCTGATTTAGCTAATCTTGGCTCAAGTAAGATCTTCAATAACCCTTACTGTCCTTGGAAAGAGTGGAGTGGGGACAACTTGGCTAAATACCAATAATTGCTGTCTAATGACATTCATTTCTTTCTCTTACTGGAATCACAAAATTGTTACAGTGCAAAAGGAGGCCATTTGGCCCTATGTGTGCGTCAGCTGTCTAAATGGGCATCTTTCTTAGTATCATTCTCGTATCCTTTCTTTAGCTCTGCACATACATTGCTCCTTTTCAGATCACCGTCTAATTCCCTTTTGAATCTTTGTTTGTACGTGTATGCATTGCACTCTTAGACAGTGCATTCAAGACTCAAACAGCTCACTGTGTGAAAATGTCTTTCTTCATATAAGCTTCGTTTCTTTTATGAGTTACTTTAAATCTGTGCTCTTTCGATCTTGACCTTTTACTAAGGGAAACATTTTCTCCCTATTTACTCTGTCCTGACCTCTGATGATTTTGGAAATATTCATGTTGACGCAATGGATAGAGTAGTGATGGTTGCCCAACTCCGAGAAGATTATCTTGGAGTACAACGGGTCCAAGAAGTAGCAGATGGAGTTTAATTTGGATAAACATGAGGTGTTGCATTTTGGTAAGGCAAACCAGGGCAGGACTTATACAGTTAATGGTAGGGCCCTGGGAAGTGTTGAAACAAAGTACTTAGGGGTGCAGGTGCATAGTTCCTTGAAAGTGGGGGTGCAGGTATATAGGGTGGTGACGAAGGCATTTGGCACGAGTGCCTTCGTTGGTCAGACCATTGAGTATAGGAGTTGGCTGTACAGGACATTGGTGAGCCCATTTTTGGTGTAATGTGTACAGTTCTGGCCACCCTTCTATAGGAAAGATGATGTTAAACTTGAGAAGGTGCAGAAAAGGTTTACAAGGATGTTGCCAGGTTTGGAAGGTTTGATTTTCAGGGAGAGACTCAATAGGCTGGGCCTGTTTTCCCTGGAGCTTCAGAGCCTGAGGAGTGACTTTATAGAGGTTTATAAAATCATGAGGGCCATGGGTGGGATGAATAGACAGGGTCTTTTCCCTAAAACTAAGGTTGTAAGTGTAAGGTGAGGGAGAAAGATTTTAAAGAGGACCTGAGGGGTAACTTTTTCACACAGAGAGTGATGTGTATATGGAGCAAGCTGCAAGAGGAAGTGGTGGAGGTGAATACAATTACAGCATTTAAACGGTATCTGGTTGGGAATATAAATATGAAGGGTTTAGAGGGATAGCGGCAAATGGGACTAGGTCAGATTGGGATGTCTGGTTGGCATGGATAAGTTGAACCAGAGGGTCTGTTTCTGCGCTATATGACTCTAACTGCATCTGCAAAATAAATGGTCTATGAATGCACTATCAAAGACGTATCATTGAAATTTTGCAAAGTACGATTTTTTTTTCTATTCAGTAGGCACCATTGTGTTATGTACCATTTCCTAGAAAGTAGCTAGTAGTCTATGCTGCTACTAAAATGCAGCCACCACAGAGGGATGCAAGGAGCTGTGGATCAACGTGCTGCCCCTCCCATTTGAGTCACAGATGGATACTATTTGGAGTGGGTGTCTAGGCCAACTGAATAATAGCTAACAGTTTAATCACAACTTGCACCTCTTGGTCTGTAGTATTGTAGGTTTTGACCGTGTTATTTACATGGATAAAGGGGCCAGCATTTATTGCCAATACCTAATTGTCTTTGAGAAGGTGGTGGTGAGCTGCCTTCTTGAACTGCTGCAATAAATAAACCCACAGTGCTGTTAGGAAAGGAGTTCTAGGATTTTGACTCAGCAACAGTGAAAGAAGCTTAGAGGGGAATTTGCAGGTGGTGGTGTTTCCATACATCTGCTCTCCTTATCCTTTCAGGTGTTAGAGGCTGAGGGTTTGGAAGGTGCTGTTGAAGGAACCTTGGTGAGTTGCAACAGGTTTGACATCTTGAGTTCTCTTTAAATGTGGTGAGGATTTATGCCTCCACCACCTTTTTGGGTAATAAATTCCAGATCCTCACCACCTTCTGATGGAAGAATTGCTCATCAATTCTCCTCTAATCCAGCCACCAGTTGTTTGATGCTTACACCTCCGATTTGTTGACATCTCTGCTAACATCAATAATTCCTTCCTATCCAATGTATCCAAGCATTTCATAGTTTTGTGTGCCTCACTGGAATATCCCCTTTGTTTCCCTTGGAACAAAGAAGTTAACTCAGTCTATTCAATGCTATTTTATCACTAAAATGCTTCTTCGTTAATTATGTTCTTCTAAATCGCCTCTTGTACCCTTTCTCGTGTGATCTTCACTTACTCTAATCAGGTGACCAGAACCCTATGCAGTAGTTGCAGTTTAGATCTTACTGGCCTATGCATCCTGCTTTTATGCTGTAGGTCTTGGCCAATATAGGAAGGTATGCCCTGTGCTTTGTTGACTACCTTATCTATCTATCCTGCCACCTCAGAGATCCGTAGAGATTTATAGAGATTCTATTGGATCCCCCTATTTCACTATGCTTTACAAAAGTCTACCATTTAATGTGTATTCCCTTGCTGTGTTTGTTTTTACCAAATGCATTGCCTCACTTTTCCGGACAGAATTCCATTTACCACTTTATTAGTCCAGAGAGATCTTCCCCTAGATTATAGCTGCTTTTTCTTCTTGATGATGTCCTTACACTTAAGTATCAACCGCTGAAATGAGTACCATGAATATTTAGGGAATGACTACTGAGCTCAGTAGAATCCCACTGGAATCAACTTTCTAGACTCGGTTACCCTTTTGTCATAATCTTTTGCATCCTATCAATGAACCAGTTTTGAATCCAACTTGCCTATTTTACTTGGGTTTCATACATTGCAGACAGGTAGAAAAATAACAGCAAATCAAAAGCCTTGATAAAGTCTATGAGGACCATCTCAAGCACCTTATCTACACTCCTTGTTGATTCCTAAGAAAGCATTCAATCAAGTTAATCAGACACTACCTTCCCGTGATGAATTCACGCTGTCCTTTACTGTCTGTGCATCTCTAAATGACTATTTATAATTTATCTCAGAACTTTTTCCAGTAATTTGCACACTACTGAGAAAGCAGCTAACTGATCTATAAATGCTTGGGCTATTCATGCCTGTAATTTTATGTAACAGTGCAAAGTTAGCAGTTCCTGCAATCCTCCAGTGCCATGCCTGCGGCTACAGAGGATTAAAAAACAGTGGTCAAAGCATCCACTGTTTTACCTTGGTTCCCTAATAAACAGGAAGACATTTCGTTTGTGCTTGGTGATTTGTCTACATGCAAGGATGCTAAGCATCTTAAACATAGGGAGGAACTATTATCTCTTCCAATATTTCTCACTACTTTTTAACTGAAATAACTGCTTTGTCCATCTGAAGAATTTGTTAATGAAGACCCCTATAACTGCAAAATTCTACATTCTGTGAAATGCTGACCCATCAAGCCAACGGAAGCATAAACTAATGCTTAGAAAAAAACATTGCCCTTTATGTTATAGTGATGTATGTTGTATGACAAGTGATATTTAATATTGGTATTTAAAGCATCATTGCTTTTGTGGTATGTCCATTGAGTGGATCATGGCAAACCCACTGCTCTCTAAAATTGCCACAAAACAGCTCAGGATAAAGCAACAGGCAATGTGCCAAGGTTCTGCCTCAGGAAGCGGGCATGTGATGTTAAGCAAATGTTAATTCAATATCTAATTAATAGTTTGAAACTAAACTCAACTGTATCCATGTTCCATGTACATTAGTGTCTCCAAAATGACTGCAGTGATGGGGCTTGAACAATAGTTGGTGAATTCTGTCCCTGCCTGCCCAAACTTAAGTGACAGATTGGGCAAGCTAGAGTATTTGCTAGCCAGCTGTGATAAATTTAATTAAAATAACTACTGTTTGAATCTCTTTAAATAAGTTTATTAAATGTTTTATAATTTTTCATTTCCTAATTAGCTCATGATGGAAATTGGCCAACACTCCCACAGGGCTCTGCTACTACAGGGAAATCACCTACAACAACAACAAACAATGACTGGAAGGAATCCAACATGGATACAGTTTTGAAACCAGGAGCTGGATCAAGTCAGACCCTGCCCACTTCCTCAACCATTTCAAACAATGAGAAAATGGTGGTAGGTTTTGGCAGTATTTCAAAGTGGTCTCTGATGATTTTAATGTTAAGGCATTTTTTCCCTGTGTGACTTTAGCAAATTAATTTTGAGGCGCAGTCTGCTTCTCCAGGGCATGCACATTTATTTTGTTCTGAATCCAGAGTTCTTTTTTAAAAAAAAAATGTAATTGCTTTTGTTCCTTAATTTATATGTATACGGTAAACATTTTTCTGTAAAACTTGAGATTAGTTTAGGCAAGTTACAACTAACTGAATACTGAATTCACATTACTTATGCCCCTTTTTTTGGACAGCAGCCATTAATAATTCTGTTTTCCTATATGCAAATTTTTTAGGCATGTCTTCTGTTCCTTTGCTTGTGCACTTTGATTCCTTTTGCCAGTTAATTTGCTGCCTTCCGCTCTTTCACAGACCTTCCGTTTGTTCTTTCCTGTTCTCCCACCACTTCTCCCTCCCTCTGCCATGCCCAGACACCCACATGCTCATTTTCTTTCTCTCTCAACATTTTCTGCCTTACTTTTAAACTGTTGGAACTCTGAACATTCTTAGTTTTGACAAATATTCCATGACTTGAAATGTTAACTCAGATGCTGTCATACCTGCTGAGCACTTCCAGCATTTTCTGTCTTTATTTCAGGTTTCCAATATCCACTGTAATTTGCTTACATGTGAAGTGTCTAGCTTTTTCAAAACTGGCCAATAGTTATATATTGTTTAGGTGTAGTTTAGCTTTGGAGATTATAGATTGATTATGACTAGATTTAATAATATCTTATTTAATTTAGGGTATTGAATCAGGAAAAGTAACAACATCTGTGCCCAGTGCAATAAAGCAGCTGACTCAGTCGTATGGACCTCACCCAAAATCTTCTCTTGTCGCCATTGGTTCTACGAATTCACTAGAAAGAATGAAAGAGGGCACTCAACCTCGGCCTAGTATGGGTTCAGTCTCCAACATAACTTCAGCAAACTGGCAGAGAGCTATCCAGTCTTCACAGCCTGCAAGCACATTTCAAGCAAGTGCCTCACAACAGATTCAGCAGAGAATTACTGTGCCTCCAAGTCCTACTTATCAGCCAGCTGCTTCACCATTGTTCTCTGCTGGAGATAGCAGACCTGATCCCCCACTGGCTGTGGCTGTAAGGCCATTCTTGACTGACAAAGGTTCTAGGCCTCAGTCTCCACGAAAAGGGCCTCAAACCGTGAATTCCAGTTCAATTTATTCAATGTATCTTCAGCAATCTACTCCACCAAAGAACTACCAACAGGCTGCATACAATACCCTAAACAAAACACATACTGTTAAAGCAAGTAAGTAGCTTAACTTTAATAGCTTTGATTAAACATCTAATAATTTGGTAGTTTTTATAAAACTGTCAATAGTCAAAGTTAATTTTTCTGTTTAGTATATTAAAGATTAATAATTACTTTTGGCTCAGTAAAGAGGTTTCTCTTTCCCTTTCCAGTGTATGGGAAGCCAGTATTGTCGTCTGGATCAGGTTCTGCTTCACCGAGTCCTTTGCCTTTTACTCATACTCCGCCTTTCCAAAGTTCTCAACCGCAGACCAGTGGTGAAAACCAAACTACTAATGAAAAGGATCTAGAACATGAGAACTTGCCGCCCACCAATTCAAATGTTGAAAACATACCACGTCCTCTGAGTCCTACGAAATTATTGCCGATTGTGCACTCCCCATTAAGGTATCAAAGTGATGCTGATCTTGAAGCTCTAAGGAAAAAACTGGCACATGCACCAAGACCTCTGAAGAAACGCAGTTCTATAACTGAGCCAGAAGGCCCAAGTGGACCTAATATACAGAAGTTGCTGTATCAGCGTTTTAATACGCTAGCTGGGGGCATGGATAACATGCCATTTTATCTTCCCAGTAACCAACAGGACTATGTGGGGGCTTTAGCAGACGTTGATAATGGTAACACCAGCCTAATAGAGTCTGGTTCTTTGCAGCCTGAACCAACAACTCAGCCTGACGTTCAACCATCGTCGGATGCCAATGATAACCAGCTGCCTTCTCCTAAACATTCTGAATTGATTCAGACAGATAACAATGAGATACCTGCTACAATAGAGGACAATAACAATAATCCTGCTGTTGTTCAAACAGAGCAACTGCCAAGTCCTCTGCCAGAAATCATATCACCAGAGGGAGATGTTCCTCCACCACCTGCTGTGCCACTGCAACCTCCTGTAAGTTTTGTGTTGTCCCTAGGATAAACTATAAGCAAAGAATAATGTCAATAGAATCAATGAGCATTTGTTTAAAGCTGTATTTCAAGAGACTCTCGGATGCTGTCTGACCTGCTGTGCTTTTCCAGCCTGTCACCTATAGAATCTGGCTTCCAGCATCCACAGTCCTTATTGTCAATTATGATAATGTCCAGTGGAACATAAGTAGTTAGTTTAGACCCCAGCCCTATGAATTTAATGATATCATTGCTGATCTGGAACCTAACTCCAAATACAGATATAATCTTAGATTTTAAATCCAATTCAGGATGTTGGATGTAAATCTGATTTTGGTTAAAAATGTTCTCCAGTGAGTTTGAATGGTAATAGCTGTGAATATGTGCTCACGTAACAATTCTGATCCTAATTTTGTATTAAACTGGGAATCTCGTTTAGCTTTCATGTTTGTCTGATCTGAGAAGTAGAATTGATGTAGTAGAGGAGATTTTTTTGAGTTTGGGAGAGAACAGAGCAAGGTTTCATGTTGCATCATATCATATAAAATATTGTGTTAATCTCTTTCACAGGTTTTGTCCAAAATATTTGATATCATCTTCATTGCTTTTAAAGATGTTATTGAACATTGTCTCTGAAGTCAAAAGTTTCTTCTGTATGACTGTTTTCAGTGTAGTTAGATGATTTGAGCTGAGACAGAGATCATAATATTGATGGTTAGAGATTGCACAAAAGTAGAGGGTTTAACAAACAAAGGAAGAATTACAAAAGATTAGAAGAATTGATTCAGGAAATTGCCAGACAAATGACTAATATAGTTTATTTTGAAATTGATAAAATTCTAATACATAAACAAGCCATTTGACGTAATCAACCTATGTCAACAATTATCCTACATATGAGCAAATAATGGTAATTATATTTACTGCTTCACATCATCTCCTTTTTTTTCACCCACTTAGCCAATCTCTCTTTGAATATCAATCTGCTTTCTATCCAACTATTAATTCTAGAAATGTTTTCAATAGCTTTATAACTCTAAATTTCTCTTGTTCTGCCCATACAATACTGTCTTAAAGTTGTATGTTAACATATCTTTAGCTTTTATATATCTTAGCTCGTGATAAAATCAAGATTTTAATTAGCTTTGTTTATAACTGTAACCACCTGAGATGCTACCTATAATGTGCTGTAAACCGACAACTTCAATCCCTTGATTCTTTGCTGTATCAACTCTACTTCTGCTGAGGCTAAATTACTTTCTTAAACAAAATGTTGCATTAAGTTTTACCCAATTCTTCCATTTTCTCTGAACTACTTGCAGCTTCTAATGGACTTCTAAAGAATGAATGATACTCGCTATAAATTTCACATCATCCCCCTTGGTCACAAGTTATTGATATACAAAATGAACCGAACTGGCCATAGAACTTCTCCCTGTGTGAATCATCACTCATTTCCAACTGCTGTGAAATAACTACCCTTAACTTCACCTCTCTCTTTCCTCTGCATTCCAGCTCATTTTTAATGTAGTCACTTGATTCAATGCTGTTACTGTTCTCTTATAATCTCCTTGGTAGTGCATTGTGAAAGATTTTCTAAAGTCCATGTTCACCATTTCCACTCCATTTCCTTATATACCTTGTCTCCTACTTCCTCAAAGCACACTGTGAGGCTTGTTAAGCGCAATTGAACCTTGAGAAATCCATATTGTCGACTTCTGTTTTCTCTTTATTTAGATATATGATGAAATAATCTCTATGACTCCTTTGTAAAGGTGTTTATCCAGACTGTACTGTCCCCGTATTTAAAAATGGCTGCTGCACTGGCCCCTCACTATTTCTGCAGCATGTATCCACATTCAGTAGACTCTTGAAATATTCTGCTTAGGGCCGCAGCAGTTTCCTATTTACCTTCCTCAGGCCAGGTATATCAAATACAAAAATTTTGTTTTCTCTTAGGCTGCTAATTTGTCTTTTGAATACGATACTTTTGTTCTGATATTTGGTATTTTCTCCCCTTCTTCCTCATGCTCCTATCTTCTATGTTTCTATTCCTTGAATATTGCTCAAAAGAAGGGCATGTTGCTGAACAGGACAATTCATTGAAGATAAAGGCTTCAACATATTCCATGTGTTTGCAGGGAACAGGTCCCTAGATGTGAACGTGGATCTCACCAACAACTGTAAATGAGCCATGTTATGAGCTTAATTGATCTTAAATTGGTTGTTAATGTAGTTAAGTAGTGTAGAGTAGCATTCAGATTGGTGCAATCTTCTGTTTGTCCTGATGAATACAAGATGGAAAGCTTCAGCAGTTCTTTTCTCAGTGACTTTCATTCCTTTTTCTCATTTATTCCTCTGTCCTCATGCACGAGGTGATTAATTAAAATCATCCAATCTTCCATTGTTCCTATTAATCTGTTATTAGTGATTAACGTCTCATTTTGTGATCTGTCATTATCATAATTGACTTTGATCAATATTGCAAGCTCTGTCTTTATCTTGTTGATCCAACTATTTTGACACTATCTATAACCCTTCTACATCTACGTGACCCTACTGTACAGCAGATGTTCTCTCTCACCAATATGTTTTCTTCTTAACTGTTCTATCTCTCCGAAATATACCTAGTGCGGTGAAGTTTTGGGCCAAAAAGCAATGATTAGGTATGTATACTCAATGGAAAAGCATCGAAGAGTATCGGGACAATTCATTGGAAGTGACCACTATGAATTCTGTTACTAGCCATGGAAAAATGACTTTTTGCTGTGATAATGATTGTTTCCTTTTAATATCACACTATTACCTCAGATTAAACGTACAAATTTGAAAAAACCTGATTCAGAAAGGACAGGTTGTGGGATGCGGGTAAAATTCGATCCTCTTGCTTTACTCCTGGATGCTTCTTTAGAAGGAGAATTTGATCTTGTGCAGCGCATTATTTATGAGGTAACATTTCTATTTTTTTTTTGTATTGTCATTTGTTATTTGAAATTCCTAGACAACGAAATACGTTTCTTAATATGTGTAGCCTTCAATTTCTTTTTCTTGGTTTTGGCCAGGTTAATGATCCCAGTAGACCTAATGATGAAGGGATTACACCATTACACAATGCAGTATGTGCTGGTCACCATCACATTGTGAAATTCCTTGTTGATTTTGGTGTAAATGCAAATGCAGCAGATAGTGATGGATGGTAAGTTTGAGATGTTCTAACATAAAATTCACTGAAATGTAGTGAATAAATGTTTAAATAAAGCTGATTAAATCTGGTCTTCCATCCAACTGGTAAAGCTATTCTTATTGTTTGTATCTACATTGTGAAATTTTACAATAAGGTCATCTAAACTAGACTTAAGATTTAATAATCTTTGATTTTTTTTCTTTCTTTCTAATTTCCCCTCTGCCCCCATTCTGTAACCAGTTGTGGTCTTCACGTACTTCTACTTCATATATGAATTCTCGTATTTGATAGGGTGATCGTTGAAATTTTTTTTTTCCCTTTTTAGAAGGATTAGAACAAGGGACAGGGTTTAATAATCAAGTGTTTAGGCAAAAATTAATGGATTGATTTCTACACAGTTAATATTTTTGAGTAAAATGAAACAATGAACTGTGGATGCTGGAAACCTGAAAGCAAGTGCCTAACGAAACACAGCAGGCCTCCATCTGGATCCAAAATGTTAACTGTGTTCTTTGTACAGATGCTGCCAGACCTGCTGAGTATCTCCAACACTTTGTTTCTATTGACCTTTTTTGGAGTGGTTGAAATCTCATGTTCTTGGGTATAATAGTGCACCTTGGGATTATCACTTTAGTGTCATTTGCATGACCTCCCACTCCGCAGATTTCTTTCCAGCTCACTTGCTTCCCTGACTGACCTTGTCATTCACCACTTCCCTCTCCTGAACCTCCCTCCTAGTTACTGCTTCCCTGCCTGACTCTCATGATCACTATTCCCACCTTCTACCCAACACTTTCTGCTTTGTGTCCCTGCTTGCTGCTTGCCTCTGCCCAATTCTCTTACTCATCACCTTTTTATGATTCTTCCGCCCACCCTTTCCCTGCCTGACCCCTCCAAATGCCCCTTTACCATTTGCTGCTATCCTGACCACCACTTCTAATGCCTGCAGGAGCCTGTTCCCTTCAAAAAGAGCCCAAGAGATTCCACTGTAATGACAAGGGCTTCTTCCTAAATGTCTTGCTGGGTGGAACCAGTGAGAAGGACAATGGCAACAGTGAGTGTTGCTGATTTCTATTAACATTTTTCCCAATATAGGTTTTTTTGTTATGTTCCAGACCCTTATTGTTCAGCATCCAAGCTTGCTTTTAACATTATTATTCGCTATTCCCGTCAATTATACGTTCCAGTTGCATCGATTAGTTCAATAAACTCCAAAATCTGCAGTTAATTATGTTATTGCTTTATTATTAACGTAAATTCAAACTCGTTTCCTTGGCCCCAGTTCTAAGTTTTCTTGGCCATCAATTACAAGAATAGTTTATTTACCTCAACTATTCATGAAAGCCTAAGGTCAAATTATATACAAAGTGTATTTGAAAAAAGGTTATTCAGTCAAAAGTCAGGGGTCAGCTTTTACACCAGATTACCTATTACTCAAGTATACGTAAGGTAACCGACTCAACCTATCTGAGTAGTGTTGGTCTGCAATTTGCCTAATGGTATTACTTTCTTCTTAGGACACCGTTACACTGCGCTGCTTCCTGCAATAGCGTCCAACTCTGTAAACTGCTTGTGGAATCCGGTGCTGCTATTTTTGCTACAACTATCAGCGATGTTGAAACAGCAGCAGATAAATGTGAGGAGATGGAAGAAGGTTTTGTACAGTGCTCACAGTTTCTTTATGGCAAGTATTTAACTTTATCACTTTTTGTTCACATGTCCAACTCCCCTCTCTGTAGCTTGATAAAATAAATTAAGCAGTAGTTAATGGTCTCTTTATTAAGTTTCTCTAAGCTAGTCAAATATTCTCAATCCAGTAACCATATATTGAGCCAGTGCTCACTATTTAGATTCATTCGCATATATCTCTCTATGATGTTGTTCATTCTCTGCTTAGTGCTTCACTGTCAAGCTTGCTGTAGTGAGGATATCATCAGTTAAGGACATTTGCTTGTATGAGATTATTTACTAATGAACAAATTCACCCAAAATATCGCTGCTGTTGTTCCTTTCACTTTTGAATAGTTTATGTAATACAAAATTGTAAATGAGTATATTACTGTCAGTATCTGTAAAGACAAAGACTTAAGTGTATAATCGTGTTCATTTTGAGCTACTGTTCTTGCAGTTTGACTTGATTCCTCAAGTAGAAGATCAGGTTATGCAGTGGAGGCAATTTGCCATTTGAAAGTACCTGCAGTGAAAGTTTAATTTTCTCAGGGAACTGACGGATTCCCAATTGACAGCAAAGCTTTTATTTGTTTTCAACAAGAAGGGAGAAGCAGTTTTTTTTTAAAATGCACCATTTCTGGTCCCGTCTAGTTTAGATCATAGAATAACATTCATTTGCGCTTAAATGCATAAGTAGTGCAACTGTATTCTCTTAACTGTAAAACAAAAGAATGTATGATGGCGAGTAGCCTGAGAGAATACTTGATATGTTTTTAAAAATCTAATTGTATTAGTGTCTATAGTTACTGTTGTTTATTATCGTAAAATACTTGCAGTAAACTTTTAAAAGCTACACATGCTTAAATACCCACTTTTGAGTGCAAAAAGCTTGTGTTTGATCTTCTAAGCATCTTCTAAAGCCTATGTTTTGTACAGTGACTAGCAATATGTTTGTCAGTCTGAGATAATTGAGAATTATGTTCAATCCACAATAGGAGTACAAGAAAAAATGGGTGTCATGAACAAAGGTGTAGTTTATGCTTTGTGGGACTATGAGGCCAAGAACAGTGATGAATTATCGTTCCATGAAGGCGATCCTCTGACAATCGTGAGGCGTAAAGATGACAATGAAACGGACTGGTGGTGGGCTCGTTTGAATGACAAGGAAGGCTATGTTCCTCGCAATCTGTTAGGGGTAAATATATTCCATATTTCTGTAAAATTATAATTATTTCAATAAGCTTTAGTAGCACCAACAAAATAAAAATGACTGACACAGGTTAAAGCTGGCAAGGTCTGTTGAAGTCCGAAGACCCTACCAAATATGCAACTCCTGTCGGAGCCCTATGTTGTCATCACTCCTCTTAAGACTATTATACAGTGGTGTGACTGAAGTGATTTTAATTCTGTTTGTTTTCATCAGTAATGTGTAAATATTCTGCATGTCTATAACTTCTTGTATTTCACTATGTATTTGTATTTTTGTGTATCGATGTATCATTGTATGTCATGGGGAAAGGCTGAAATGCTGGAAGTTCCAAGAATTCGTAAATAATTCTAACAGGCAAGCAGATCAGCAGCTAAAGAGACTGGAAGAATGTAAATAATCAAGTTGGGCACCAGTCCCGGAAAACAGAAGTTAATGTAAAGGATGAGCAGCATAATTTGGGAAGAAAATTTTATCAACAACTGGTGTACCATTGAATTTTACACTTTAGTTATTGATTTCTGTGTGCTGCTTATCTATGTGATGCATTAATTTTCATTGTGCAAACTGTATTTTAGAATAATTCAGCTCAATTGCTACATATCCTAAGTGAGGCAAAGGAAGGTATTGTTTATGTAACTGGAAAGATCTGATCGATCTTTCGTTTTTCAAAACTGCTGATTAGAGATGGCCTAGAAATGGATATCAAGTTAAAGATGTAAAACGGCAGCATCAAGTTTTCCTCCATAATCTTAACTCATGATACGATTATGGCTATGCTGTATGAGGCTGACAGGAGATTATAGCTACAGGATGAAATGAGGAAAACTAAGACTTATTGTAATTATATTCTTTGCTATACTTTGAATTATGAATATGGATCAGATAAAATTGAGATTATTGATAGCACTTTGGATAAATACTGATTTAGGTTAGCTAATGACAACTTAGTACTGAGAAGAAAATCTGAAAATGTAAGAAGGTTTAGTGGCTAATTAATATTATCAGTTTATATTTCAAAGCCAAGATAAGTTCATGTATCATGTTATGACAGCAAATGCAGAGCACTGCTTATAGTTGAGAATAATCAAGTGAGTGGCTGAACCAGAGAGACCATGAAAACCCAAATTTGATCAAGAAAAAATAATTGACATGGAAACTAAATTAACAGATATTCAATCAGTGATAAACTATATAAGAACGTTCAGCTTCTTTTTCTAAGCACCCCACATGATTTCAGTCTTCTCATCCTGCCACTTTGAGGGCAAAGGTGACTAGCCCTCCAAGAATAGCCTCTCTAGTCCATGACTATATAGGCTATTGTAGTATCAATCCTAAATTGGCTAAAAGCATTTAAAAAGCACTTGGTAATGCATTTAAGTCACCATAAGCTACAAGGCTGGGTAGCATTTTTCTTGCTGGCACAAAGGTAATAGACTGGTTTCTGCTGTGCTGTAAACTTATCCTTCTCTTATCGGAATGGTGGCTTTAAATGGAGAAAGTTCATTAATATGTTTGAATATATTTAGCCATCTTTTGACAGTAACGGTGATAAGATTGATTTAGGTGAGGCTATAAGTTTTTTTTTTAAAGTCGTTTAAAATGGAGGGAAATATTTGAGAGTTTCCAACCTTGAGTTCAAATCTCTGTATGGTCTCACACCTCCCTACCTCTTTCAGGACTACAACCCTACAAGGATGCTGTGGTCCTTCAGCTTTGGATTTGTGCATCATTCACTTTTATCTGGCTGTATTTTTTGCTGTATGGATCCTAAATTATGGAATTTCTTTCTAAACCCGTATTTCTACCTCTGTTCTTTTCTGAGGCCTTGTTAAGTTGTCTCTTTGAGCAAGCATTTAGTCACCTAAAATCTCTTTTTGCTCTGAGTCAATCTCTTTTGTTGTCATCTCCTGTGATGTACATTGGTCATTATCCCACATTGCCAGATCCAGAACAGTATTGACTATAGCAACATCCATAGCTCAGATTCTCTTAACCTGCAGCTGAAGAAGGGAGTACAGTTATACAGAAAGTGTGATATTATTACCTTCTAATGTCTTATTTATTTTTGTTTTGTTACAGTTGTACCCTAGAATAAAGCCCCGGCAGCGATCTCTGGCTTAGGGATATTGGTGAGCTATTCTAATCAGAATCTGGAACGACACATTGGCGGTGCTGCCCATCCAGAAGAGGAAGTAGATATTTACGTGCTGTGATTTGGATATGCAGTAGTTTATGGTGCTTTTTCTCTGAACAAAGTCGCATTGCTACATCTGAAGAACACACGTGTACTCTAGCACACCTTCATGTGTGCATTCAAACATGTGCACATATGCACACGCATTTAGACCTGAACAGTCACATTAGAACGTACGAACAGGCCTGCACATTTCTCTGTTTGTTTCTCTCTCTCTCTCTCTCTCCGTCTTTCTCTCTCACACTCATTCACACACACACATGCACACACACGCGCGCACACAAAACAGAGGAAGTGGTGTTATCTGAAAACCACTTGACCTCAGTATTGTTAGTATGTGGCATGCTTGGCTGGCAGTGGTGGTAAGGGAAATGTTTTAATGCAACTTTTGTTGGTTTCAAGAAGGAAGTTATAATTTATTGAAAGGTAATGTGGATGAACTAGCAGAATTTGACTTGGTATTGTGATAATTAAAGCTGTTAAAGGATATAAAAATTTATGCTTGGACATGAAAAATTTAAGTAACATAGTAATACTGCAAATGTGAGATGAACAAGGATTTTAGTAAGGCAAGGTGCACTGTCTGAGTTGTATGAAGTAAGTGAAGTGTATGTGACTAATGGAATGGTGGATGTACGAATGACCAGAGGATATTGTCATCTATTAATGTGTGTATTTTATGGAAATGATGCAATAACTTTCACCACATTTTGGTGCAAAACACTACAGCACTTCATTAAAATAAGTATTCAAGTATATTTCTATATTAAAGAATCTTTCATTTATTTTTTCCAATTGCATTTTTCTTTTTGAAATAATTCTAGGCAAACATTCTAACAAATGATAAGTTTATACATGTAACAAAACAATCTTTGGCTTGTTTACCATGTTTCATATCTAACCTTTACCTAACAAGCAGTTCTGTTAACTGAGCACAGGGTAGTATTGAATGTAAATATTGTGATGTATAAGATTATAACAGTGGGCTATATTATGTATGACTAAGTGACTGAACTGTAATTTTTTCATAGTTGATAGTACTACACTGCTTAACAAGTGTTATGTAAACGTATACAATAAAATACAATGGCATGAACAAAGGCATTTTGCAAATTACATTCATTCTATCTAATCAATGATCAGAATTCTAAGACCATTTCAATTTATAATGACTGGCCAGAAACCAGTGTTTAGTTTGAAAGCTTAGGAGGTGTGGTTGAAGTATGTATTCTTTCCTTTGTTCCTTATTCTCTCTCAAAATCAAATTCTGAACTGCCAATAAATGTCTGTGAATTATTTTACATGTAACAGTAAACTAGCAGGCAAAATATTACTGAATGACAAACTGATGGTCTATAGAAAAATTCTTTCATGCATACCAGCCCTTAATGTTTTTAGTCAAGTATAATCCTTTTCTTTCATCTTACCTGCTCTGGGCCAAGGAAATTTATCTTGTAAATGTATTGTCAGGCAGACCTCAGCACAGATCATTTGACCCTCTAATGAATAATTAATAAAAATTATGAAGGTATCAATATGACACTGATCCCAGGAATGATTTTTTTTTAGAACTTGGCCAAAGAGCTCTGAATAGCAGGATGTGGCCTGGGTTTTTTGAGTAGGGAAAATAAATAAAAACCATTGCCTTCCAAGTTCCTTTGAGACATGGAACAGTGTTTTACCTGAACTCAAAACATAACTGAAGAATAATTGAGAATACTTGCTCACTTACATCTGTTGTGTGCTGTCTGAACCTGTTGTATGAAGGTTCATCAAGTACCAAATTCTGGACAAAACATGTAATTGTGAAAAAGTTATCACTTCATTAGAGAGCTGTAGTTAGAGTTTGATGCCACAAGGACTACGTACTCATCTTGAAGCTTCTGGGTAAATCTTCTTTGATATCTTCTGCACTTCTTCTATTCATAAGGTACTCAAAATTTAAGAACCCCAGGATTTTCTGAGGGAATGGCCTGGGCCGTTTGCTCAATGATGTGAATCCTAAGGTGGGAATGTTTGTTCATGATTGCCCAATGCTTGAATTGTGTGTTTTTGGCTTAAAAGGTGTGTGATTGAGAATATAGACATTTCAATGGATTAAATATAGACTGACTCTACAGGTAAGTTGTTCTGTGATCTCAAACAATTTCAAGAATTTATTTAGATATTTCTGAATCAACCTGTTCAGGTATGTTATTACATACCTTTAGAGTAGGTGGAACTTTAACCCAGGCCTCCTGACTCAGAGGTAGGGACATTACCACTGTGCCACAAGAGCCTCAAGAGTTTGATTATTGTATCCATGGACAAAAGTTATGCACCTGAAAATACAACTTCTGAAAAGTCATTGCCTTCTGATACAGACTGCTGAGACAAATTACACTAAATCCTTGAGAGAAAAGATCATTCCTGATTATAGAGGGCATTTTTCATGATTTAACGCCTGATGTAGTCCTCTGGGTCATGCTTGAATTTCCTGAGTTGTCTGAGTGGAATATCCAAGTGTTTTTCTTGAACATTACCAATATTATTGCTTCTATGAGGAAATGGTGGATAGTGTATGAACTTTTAATGTTTATTGGATCAGACAGGCTTTATGGGCTCTGCTGTCCTCCCAGCCTCCCTGCCACACCCCCCACCCGCCCACTTTACATTATCCTCTCCAGTTATTCCTTGTAATCTGAACGATGAAAACCAGCATCAATCTTATTTTGCTGGTAGTTTACTTTCCTTAAAAAAAAACTTTTATTCTAATCCAAGAAGTGAAATTGGATTTCTCATACTTATGGAATTTATGCTTATATAATTGATAGATATATATCTTGATAAAATGTCTTGATATCCATAAACAGATTAAATTGTATTTATTTATTATATGGTTCAGTGGAGTTTTTATTTGCCTTTGCAATTTCTGGCAAATAAACATTGTGAATAATGCTAGAAAATGTTTGTCTCTCCACTTGATCTGTAAGACTTTGTATGAGTTTGGCATCAGTAAATATTAAAAATGTTAGAAAATTGTAAACAGATCTCCTTGATCCTGCTCCTCCATTTAGTAAGCTCAATCTGATCCCTTTATATCTTAATTTCCTTAAAATCCAAAAATCTATTTCAACCTTGAAAATAGGCAATGACTGAGCATTCACAGCAACTTGAAGGAGAGATTCACAAAAGATTCACAATCCTCTGATTTGCAGGGGTTTGGGGGGGTGGTGAAAGTTGAGGGGAAATCATATCCAGTTTAAAATGACTGCACATTTATCCTGAGATTACTTACCTGTGTTTTAGAATCTCCAACAGGGGGAA